TGAAAATCCGTAAGTACTCGGTTTCCCATCATGCATTTGGAATAAATAAGCATCCCGAAAGGAAGTTTGGAGGTTAGCCCTATGTAAAAAGCTCACTAAATGCAGAACATGTGTGTGTAAAAAAAAATAAATTTAAACTGGATAAAGCCATTTCGTTTAATTCTGCCCTTTTTGTCTTGCTTACGACATTATGGTATTAATTTAGAATTTTTTTTTTTGGCAAGGCTTGGAGCAAAAACCTGCGGGATCAGTACGCATTTGTCTTGCAAGTGAACCCTACCCCTCTCCACTTTGCACGTTATGGCAGCCGCCATGTTCACAAACCATAAGTTTATTTATCATTTCTATTCATCGTCACGTCTTGAGAATAAAAGGAAAGACGACGGTGACTGTGAAACGGTCTTTATATTGGATCGAAGTCATTAAACCCTGCTTCTCACTAGCTCCATGTTCTTACCGAGAAAAGAAGCGATGCAAACGCAAGAGAATATTGTTGTTTTTTATTCTTGCGTTGAATATTGCGCTTGTGCCTATGCTTGCGTCGCTAGTAAGAACCGGGCTTAAATGCATGCCGGGATTACATGCAGAACCTAATCCAATCACAATGCTGAGATTCGATACTCCACGGTAACGGTCGTACTCGTTCAAGAACCCCCATATTTTTAGTTTTCGACAAGAAATCTGAGAACAATGGAAACGCAGACTGGAAAGTTTTCATCTCATTGACGACTCTTAAAACTCCAGTGTATACGGGCTTAGCCTCGAATCCAAAAATTACTTGCCTTGTTATTCTAATTTCTAGATCTTCTTTTGTTCACCACTTCAGTAGTGAGGCTTGGACCCCTTTGACGTCGAAGCATCTCAATAGCCCACTTCCGAGATATGCTTCGCTTGTCACGCACAAAGGTTTCAGTACGAGGCTACGTGCTAAATTAAATTAATTCCTACCGCCTGTCACGAATGACTGAGCATTTAGCACGTAGCCTCATACTGAAACCTTTGTGCGTGACAAGCGAATCATATCTCGGGAGTGGGCTATTTGGAGGACAAAACAAGAGAATTTCAATCTCCTGAAAATTGGAAACCTATTGATATGTTCTCCATATTAAGCCATGCATTCCGACGTACTGCAAGGGGTCTATAGGATGCGCTTTGTAATACCTCAATAACTACTTTATGGTATTAAAAGTATTTTTATTTTCTACAGTAGTCTATTCACCTTATATCAAAATATACGTCCAACAAAAAACCCCATCGCCTGCCTATATATAAATTTGAACAATAGCTAATTTACTTAACGCTAACAGCTAAAGGCTTTTAATTTTTTATTTATTTATAATATATAAGAATCAAATTCTCAAATAGCTAAAAGCATAATTGTTTATAAGTATCGTGCATGTCAACAATCTTAGAAATTCGCTGATTTTTTCCACAAAACGACAAAGACTTCAAGTATCGATGACGCGATATCCAGTATAATTTGCGTGTAGACACGTATCATATTTTTTCAAAGCGCGCCGGTGGTACTCGAAATGGTTATATTTGGGACAGCAGTTATGAATTTGGAGCATGCGCAATGTTTACTAAAGACAATAATAATCGTACCTTTTGAACCGCTCTCAATGAACCGCTCTTGTGTCTCAAATTTTAATATAAAGCAGGTTCTCACGTCACGGAGATATTCAATAGAAATATTAAGTGCACAGTTATTTTGAGCATGACTGCCAAGTTGCGTTCCTAAAGCAACATTGTTTTGATGACATTAACATGGTGGAAATGGCATCACTGGAAAACAAAAAATATCTCCAACAAAAAATTACTTAACAAAATAATAGCTATAATTTGATATTTCAAGGTTTTCTTGTATGTTTTGCTGATAAAATTCCTATTCAAATATTTATGCTTAGAAAAGTAACTCAAAGCATGGTAGCTGTTTAGCCTTTTCAAGATGTTAATTGACCAAAGTTGCAACTATCCCAACATCTGCCCAATTATTTCATTGACCAATAGCGTTGAAGTACAGTTAGGAGATTCAGCAGGATAAATTATACCAAGCCAGGATGTATGATCAGAGTTAAGGGATCGAGGTCGACGGGTTGCATAAACTGAAATACCTAACTTTTTCCCTCAGTGTTTTCTGGAGGTTTTTCATCTCGTCTCGCAGTTTCTTCAGTTCTTCAATTAGGTCTTCGTACGTTATTGTCTCTCGTTCGATAACTATGAAACGAAATGCATGTCAAAAAAGCAATCTTAAAAAGCAGAAACTCAAATTAAATTATACAAAAGGATAGCCCGCGTTGCATGCTTGGCGATCGATATGTTGTCTTTTGTGTTTTTTCTCGTCACAAAAAAACCGCAAATTAACGCAGGCTAACAAAAAGCTAGACTAGGATTATTGAGATCACGTGACCGCAGCCATGTTGGATGAGAGGATAAAAAAAAGTTTACGTGGAAAAAATAATATTTGCTCACTAGTACCGCAAAAGTATCCCAAACTAGTACGAATGAAATCGTTAGTATATTGGTCTCGAGTTATGTTAACTTACTTTCAATGGTCTTGATTTTATTGACAAGGTTGTCTTGGAGCTTCCGAGCTTTTCTTTTAAACTCTCTAATTCTGTCCGAAGCATTGTTCACTTGTCCCACTTTTTCGTTTATTTTCCCTTTAGCTTGGTCGAACAGCTTCTTCAGCCTCTGAGCTTCCTGTTTAAATTATGAATTAAAAAAAAAAAAAAAACCTTTAAAAAACGAACGACCGACAGACTGATTTACATGACTGACCATTTGACTGACAACCGACTGACTGACATGACTGTCTGATCATCTGACTGACCAACCAATTGAATGAATGACTGACCAACTGAAACTGAACGACTGAGACTGAATGACCGACCGCCTAACTGATCGACCGACCGACCGACCGAGCAAGCAAGCGACCGACCAGCTAACTTCCTAACCGACTGACACACCGATCGATTGACTGACTAATTATCTTAGTAAACACACTTACAATAAGAGCCTGTTTAGATTCATTTTGAGCAGTCCTTGTGATATCTTCCGCCATTGCCAGATCCTTAGCGTTATCGTCATATTCCTCCTTGATTGGAGGTAGGTCTTGTTTCGTCTGGGTAGTTGTGTTTTTAGCTTGGTCTATTTTCTTTTCTAACGCATCGAGATCACCCAAAAGCTGCAGAAAAACAATGCACATTTAACAGTCATGAATTTGTATGACGCGCGTTAGAACGGTACGTAACAAAACACTTCCTCTGCCAAAAACAACACATCTTAAATCGGATGCCCCTGAGTCTTTACTCTACTATTACTTTACTACTATCGGAATTTCTGGCGCAAGAGAGAGGAAAATTGAAAACCGTTGATTAAAATCCGAAAGTGCAACACGCATCAAGTGGTAGCTGTGCATGACGTGTAAACCCTATCAACAAGACTCGTACCTTATTGATAATGTCTTCCGCATTATTGATATCATCACCAGCACTCTGAATAGCATCTTTCGCCATCTGTTGAGCCTGTTCTGCCATATCTAACGCTTTGGTCACGTTACTGATAACATTTTTTACTGCATTCGCTTTGTCTCTGAAATAAAGAAACGCAGGGTCAGTATGATGGAGAATTATGTAGTTGGAAAATGAGATTTTAGATAAAGAGAAGGAATTCAAAAGATAAATGAAGACAAGGAGAAGAGAAGGTTGAAGAAAAGAAGAGGAAAGAGAAAAGGAAAAAGAAGAGAAGAGAAGAGGAGAGAAGAGAAGAGAAGAGAAGAGAAGAGGATGAGACAAGACAGGTAATGGAATGAAAGAGGAGAAGGGGGGAGAAAAACGGTAATGAAAACTGGTTCATACCTGGCTTGTTCTGCCCTGTCTTTCAAGCCATCTGCTTTAGTAAGGTTCCTTCTCGTGTTATTAAGAATCTCATCGATCCCAGTCAAGGAAGACAAAGCATTTTTAATATCTTCAGCGAGTTTTTTAATCTGGTCAGGAGCGACAGATAGTGACATGTTCAAGACTTTCTCTGTTAATGCCTTAGCACCAGATGTGTCCGGAACCTGTTGTGCGAGGAACTTCAGGATATCCTGGAAAAAGAAATGCACGGTTAGGGGAAGTTCCATAGTATATTTAGAGAATGGAGTATTGATCCCAGACTCAAACCCCTTCTTTTAAAATAGAATTTCCTGACGTTTTGCTGATTAAATATCATTTTTTACTGATTACTTTTCGGGTATATGGTGTATACGGTTCAAAGCCAGAGCTTTTCAACTAAAATTTCGCATGAAACACAAATTTTTAAAACCTTTTGTTTGTACTTGCTGAAGCAAAAACTCGTAACTTTTGGCACACTTTAAAAATTTCTATGAAAAAAAATACAAAATTCTTAGACCTTGAAACATGCCGCCCAAAATGGCTGATAACGATCACGCGATATTAATCAATACTAATACTGTATGGATTTCTTAAGATTCCTTACCTCGATCAGCTGATCCATTCTCTTGCTAGCATTCTTTGCCTGCATGTGAGCATCCATGGCTTGTTGGAATGCCATCAGGGCCACATCACGTGACATGTTGACTCTCATTTCAGCTTGCATTGCATCCTCAAGTGTAGCGTGGGCTTTGGCTACGAATGATAACGATTTGTTAGCACGCTGTAACAACATTAATGTAGACCAACCAAAGGTACCAATAGAGTTTTGCACCACCGCGTGACGGCAGCCATGTTAGATGGCAGAACAATACAGTTGTTTTACATGGAAACGAATTCATTTCCCAAGAACAAAGGGATTTTATTGTTCTGCCATCTAACCACAGGAAACCCAAGCAGTATTATGGGATGGGCACGTGATGGTGCAAAACCTCTGTAAGTGTATACTTGGGTACATTTGCCTGCCCGCTTGTCTAATGTTTGTCTGACCGACTTGTCGTTAAGGTCGTTCGGTTGTTTTTTCACGGAAATGTTGGTTTTGGATGCGCATGCGTACTGTAGTGTGGAGGTCAGATCCTCCTGCCGATAAGCTCGGACAGTTAAAGTACAGACCACAGAGATCTCATTTTCCTAACGTACTAAACTTACCTTCTCTCATTTTCTGTGCTTTCTCAGCCTCCATCGCCATCTTTACAGCCTCCATCGCCAGACTCCTTGTCCCGTTACATCCGGGCCCTCCACAGGTCCCACAATCCTCCGCCATACACCAACCACACTTATCACGTGGTGTACCACATACCATGGCACTCAACATCTCGGACTGGTTCATGAGGACTCGGATTCTATGGAAGATGTCATCGAGAGAAACCTTGTTTTGCTGGTGCTTATCGCTGAATGAAGGTGGTCCAGTCAATATCTTTTGTATATGCTCACGATTCTTAGAAGCTTTCTCGATGTTGTCCAACGATCCGTTGACTCGTTTCTCAGCAGCCCGAGATCTTTGCTGGTTCTCTTTAATCTTTTCATAAGCTCCCCTGAAATTCTTTTCCTTGACTTCGTTGATTTCATTCTTCAACTTTTCACCTTTTTTCAACAGTTCTTCCAGCATCTTTCTCAGCCTTACAATCTCTTTATTTGCGTCTGCTGTCCTCGTATTCGTTTCATTCACTTTACTCTTAGCTTGACTTGTGATATTCATAATGTCCATCAAACGTTTTTCACTTCTGTTTAGTTCAGCCTCAATTTTCTTGGTGTCATTTTCCATGGTTTTTTGGGTGTCCAGTATTTTGCGCACGCGCTTCAACATCTCTTCTAAGGCCTTCAGCTCTTTTTCATAGGCATAGATTCCACCACCTTTGAGAAGATTACACAAAGAGATTTATATTGGAGATCTAAAGACCTTTTCCTCTTATCACTTATCTTTTTTAGAAAATGAAGTTTGTTATTAGCTGTTCCGAGGTTGAGGAGAAGACTGGGTCGAGTTGGCATTGCAGTGCATTGAGGGGCTGTTTTAGAGGACATGACGTCTATTTCGTCCTCTAAACCAGTCCCACAATGCACAGCAAATTCACCTCGAACCAGGCTTTTACTCAACTTCGGAATGGCTAATTATTGCCAAGAAACAAGAAATCCAAAAGACATGGTGTTTTGGTTTTGCTTGAACTGAAGTTAGTCCAAAATGGATCTTGATCGTCTTTCTAAGAAGAAACTATTGGCTGTGGTTTTGCAATTTAAAGTAGGTGATTCATGCTTCGTCCTTTCATGATTTATTCTTCAACAAGGAATGATAAATAAAATGTCAGTAACTGGCATCCAAAAAAAACATTAAAATATGATGTTATTAATACTGGCCAAAAAGAAGCGTTTTTTCAACGCTAAAATTAAAGCATTAGAGAGTTTTAGATTGACTTTTTTTCTCCCCGCAAACGGCAAACGTGACCACGTTTTCATAGTTTTCCTGTATTTTACTTTACCTTTTACAAACCTTCTCACCAAGCGCAAATACGCTTTTGTTTTTCTACTACTTGGACTTTTTTGCGATTCTTTTTCAGTAATTTAAAATAATTTTTTACTGGTCAACTTTCGTTTCACGTTTGCCGTGAACGTAAATCTAAAACCCTCTATTGTATGGCAGAAGACTTACCGGAACCTGATACAGAAAGGTTGGATGCTCTATCAATCTCGTAAGTAACATTCTGTGCCAGATAACCAAGAGTTCCCTTCCACTGATAGTAACACTCGCCACATATCTCACACAGTGGCATCTTGCCGGTCGTGTCTGCAGCACACATATCACATTTGTCTCCAACGTGTCCTACTTTGCATCGACAAGTACCTTTATCTCGGTCACACTGAAGGCTTTGTGAACCAGCTGGATTACAATCACAAGCTGCAAGATATAACGATTTACAACTTTATTCAGTGAAAGATAGATAAAATGGAGAGGCTTTGAGCCATCACGTGATGGCAGCCACGACAGGAGGCACAACAATACAGTCTTTTTCTCCTGGGCAACTGAATTCATTTTCAATTGCTCCTGATCCCTGCCATGGCTTCAATCGCGTGATGGTGCAAAGCCTCTATTGGAAAATTCGTCCAAAAAACACATCAGAAATTTTTACAATCTCGTAAAAGTTATCTTCGATTTTGGGTGAATGCATGGGCAAGAGGGGAAGTTCACGAGCACATACTTGATCTATTACCCATTTTACTCCGTGATAATGAAAGAGGATGGGAAAGGAGGGCAGAACAGGAGGAAGTTCAGCTATTCCTCCTCCGAAGTGCTTCCTAAGTTTAATCCGAATTTAGAAATGAATGGAGGAAAATCGGAAACTCGTCACTATAACCCCTACACTTCATTGATGTTGCAAATACGCGAAAATAATCTATTTTGTCTCACACTTCACAGTATCAATTCCATTGTGACTTACGATTGCAACTGTTGGGTGCGTATCCCCAGTAGTTATCTTCACATTCACAGCATCTTGGCCCTCCAAAACCAGCTCTGCAGTGACACTGACCGCTCGTCTATGTGGACACAATGGATAATACAAAAACGATTTGATAAGCAGTTTATTATGCGGCAAAAATGGAATGAAAATGAAGTTTAACTGAGACTGACTCTTCTGGAGCTCACGAATACAGTGTCACATGATCACGGCGCTCAATGGACCTCTTTTCCTTGGGCATAATGTTTCAGACAACACATCATTCCCTAGAGTATCATTTCTTTATTTAACGGTTGTGCATGACAAGACACCTGAATATGGATACAACTCAAACAAAGAGTCTTATTTTTAGTGGAATGACACGTGGTCTGAAATGGGAAGACATTACTCCCAAGGTAAAGGTCTTTTTTGGACAGCTTCTGAATCAACTAGGAGTATTATCACTACAAATACAATTAGATACTATTTGTCAAATCCAACAGTGGTCTATCATTAATGCTGCGCTCTGATTGGATGAGCTACTACTAAGCTATAAGTTATAGCCTATGGCTTTGAAAACCAAAACATTAAATTTAACTCTAATTCAAAAAGCTTTTGCATCTTTATATTTGACCTATTAGTTGGATTTGACTAAAACAATTAGTCCTCTTGCCCTCATGGGCTATGAGTCAATAACCCATTCATGCTCGAGGACTAATTGCTAATTATCACTACCCAGTGTGATATTTGTACCTGGTTACAGATAGTCTTCTCGGAGCCTGCTTCACAACAGTCACATTGCTGACATCCCTTGCCGCTTGCTAGGTTCCAGTACCCCTCGGCACATCGGTCACACTGAACACCTTCCACATCAGGCTGACATTTACACTGTCCAGTCACGTGATTACACGTGTCTTCAAATCCTGGCGTTGTACCTTGCTTGTTGCAGACACACTCTGGTGAAACAAAATGAATTGTTTTATTAACAATGATTTTTAGAGCAATTTCCAATTCTTCTACACTGACCGTCATAAAATCGGGGTGCCGTGCCTTCTAGTCAACGGTCACTGCTTTCCATGTGGGACTCACAGTTAAAAAAATGTTTTTACTTGGTACATTTTCATTGAAATTTGAGGCAATGATAAAGTCTTTTAATCATTTTCAAGATCAATTAGAAATAAAGCCGGTATAATCTTACTTGTGCAGTTTCTTGCAATAGCGTTACCATGGTAACCAGGCTTGCAACGGTCGCAGCTAAACCCAGCCGTGTTATAGAGACACTGCAAACATCTTCCCGTTAAACGATCACAGTTTCCGCGCACCGATGGGTTGATATTGTTGTTGCAAGAACATGGTTGACAGCTCCCCCCTGGCACGACAGGGTTACCATAGTAACCGTCGGCGCAATCTTCGCACTGTTTGCCGGTGTAGCCTTTCTGTTGAGCGGAAACAGCCAATCACAGATTAGGAACAAAGGTTAATTTTACCCTAAGGAAACGATAGGAAAATCGATGGAAGTAGAAGAGGAAAGGAAAAGAGAAGAAAGACGGAAGAAAAAGAATAAAAAAGATAGAAATGAAAAAAAGGCAAAATAAAAAAAAGATAAAAAAAGGAAGTAAGAAAAAATAACCAATATCAAAACATGAAAGGAAGGAAAAACAAAACGATTGTTTATTACACACTTCAACAACCGCAATAATCAAAGTTAAATAACGGTACATATATCTCTTACATACCGTACATAATTTATCTCCATAGTATGAACACAAAATACTTCCTCACCTCACAGGCATCGCAGATAGAAGATTCCGGAGTAGTGGCTGTATTGAGGACACATGTTTTACTAAATGAATTCCCGCTGCTGCCACCAGGACATTGACACCGTTTGCAATCGTTTGGCGTACCTAAAATAAGTTATTGAAATCACATTACGTTCAACAGATCCGTAAAAAAAACACAATAGGACAGACAGACAGATGGACGGACCAACGGACCTACCCACAGACCAACTAACCAAAAAAAGAACAAGCGAACAAAAGGACGCACAAACGCGGGGCGGACTAAGTGACGTACGAAGATGCAAACTACCAAACAAGTTGACTTCACCTCATTTTCTGTCTCGCGTGCGATGTTCATCAGGGCCCGGTTGTACGAAGCCTGGATAGCGCTATCCGCGGATAAATCCTTATCCAGTGGATAAATTTATTGGATAACAGGATCGACTTATCCACTGGATGAGGATTTATCCTCCGGATAGCGCTATCCAGGCTTCGTACAACCAGGCCCAGTTGAATCCAAGCTTTATAGGATTCGTTCTGGTTGACAGCACAAGGTGGCCAGTGTTTGACCACCATTTGCAGCAGAAAATGAGATTCAAGGACTTTGATCAGCTGATTGAAACCCAGCATTTAACGAACGGTCGAAAAAACAACCTTCTTCTTACCTCTTCTTGCATTTCCATAGAAACCAGGCTTGCATAAATCACAGTTTTTCCCCACAGTGTTATGCTGACAATCAATACATTCTCCTGTTTTGGTGTCACAACTAGCAGCATGGCCATTGCAAACACAGTCTCTGCACGTCGGAAATCCCCATTTATTGGGTGGACACAGACTGCATTGTCTACCAGAAGCCCAGATTTTACAAGGGCACTGACCAGTCACTATGTTACAGAACTCATCACTTATTGTACCATTTTTGTCACAGTCACAGGCTGAATTCACGAGAAAAAATATATTAGTCAAATGAAAAGGATTATCCATCGTGGAAATAGACTTTTACGATTTATTCACGCGCTTGACAATGAGAATATTAATTTACAAAAAGAACTTAATAACTTATTAATAAGATATAGAGTTTTACATAAATATAGTTACAAAATGATAAAAACGTTGTGAGTGTGGTTGTTGAAGAGTTAAAACTTTCGAGTCAAAAACCACGAAATCATGAATAAAAGAATAAATAAATTGAATGAATAAATATATTAGTGTTTCGTATGTATAGATCACGTTTGTTATGATGTTACTGATTCAAATGAAAACTTATCCATCCTGTTATGCCCTTCCCTGTTAAACCAATCACAGTGCACAAAACTACTGTCCGACCAGAATCATAATTATTCTGATACGCATAAGTTTTCAGCCATTTCTCACGTACCTGAACATCCACTTGGGCCAAAGCCATACGATCCTGGTGCACAGCGGTCACACCTCTGACCAATCACATTGGACTTGCACTTGCACTGACCTCCAACAGGGTCGCAGATAAGAGACCCATTAACGTCCCTTTTCGTCCCTGTTGGGTCGCATTGGCATGCTGGGAAAAAAATATTCAGAAGGCGTGATCACGGTGTAATAATCCAAACGGGATTCAAGAGCAAACTGAATGGAATACTTCGACGATGCTACGGCCATCTTGCCAGGGGCAAAACAAAAAAAAGCATTACAGAAAATATATAGAGTTTCGTGTGTTTGTCTTTCTTTTATGGGTAAAGGTGATCGATGTGCCGTCTTAATTCATCTTTTGTTGTATTCTCTTGTGGTGAGCTGTTAATATCAATCGACTTCATTACTATAACAAAGCTTTATTCCCCTGGACGCCCAATAATACATTTTGATCCAAAGTGACATCCGTATCGTCGAAGTAGTCCATTGATAGCACCTATTGACGCGTACATAACGCAAAAACCGACTTGTCTTTGCGGATTTCCCCCGACTAGGTGTTTTGTGCGTCTTCCCCCCAATTGTTTCCAGCCTTTGTATTTGATTTCGGCAAAAACCCCGCGAAAAAAGTAGACGCGTAATTTCACGGGTAAGCCTGAAAAGGATATTAAACCTTAGGTTCCCCCTACAAACCCTTCGTTAAACACTATTTGCATAAGATTTGGAGATCTTCAACAAACCTTAGTAAAGAAGGGGTGGTTGTATTGGAAAAATGAATAAAATATAATTAAGCGCGTATTATTTAAAAAAAGTATCATCGTATCTGAAGACTGCCTCGACTTACCAACTGCACCATCGTAAACAACAGCAGACATTGAAAAAATATGTCTTCTACAGATGTCTCCGAGAGGCAGCCTAGGTTGACTGGCTTCATAGTGTTGTTTTATACATCCATATGAATCCAGCTGGTTTCTTATAAACGATCCATCCTGGCCTTGAAAGATGCTCAGCTTGTCAGGGACTGGTACGACTGTAATCTGAATCACAAACAATAAAAGTTAACAAGCAGTTAACAAGCAGTTAACTTGATACTTAACAATTATTGGATGAGGTTGAGCATGATATCGTAAATCATCTGGCAAGACCAAAGCCGTATCATCTGCCGAAACCATAGGCCAAGGCGGATAAAATGGCCGAGGTCTTGACAGTTCATTTAAAAAAATTGTAAACTAGGACATAATATTTAATAGAGGCTTTGCACCATCACGTGATGGCAGCCATGACAGGAGGCAAGAACAATTGATTCTGGTCAAATCCTCGCGCAGAATGAGAATAGAATAGTAGAATTCTACCCGATGCAGATTTACATTAGAAAGGATTCAGTTTCCCAGGGGGAAAAGAGTCTATAGTTATGCCCCCTGTCATGGCTTCCATCACGTGATGGTGCAAAGCCTCTTTAGTGCTTTTTTAAAATATCACTGTGAGCACTGAAATGAAAGGTGCTAACCATGAGGRATGCAGGCTCTAAGGAAGAGAATGTACTTACCGAGTCAGTGTACAGTGAGTCATGGCCATTAAGGGATTTCCTTACAAACGTCACTCTGACGTCATAAGCCATGCCTTTCTCCAGGCAAACATTATCAGGTATTCTGATGTAGCGGAAAGCGGGATTCAAGCTGATCGTAACGTTTCTATAGTGTTCCAGAAATCCGATCTTAAGGCAGCTACCGCTGGACAGGGATTGACCGTCTGCTCTGGTTACCGTGACGACAGCATCCCAGGCTTCGGAATCCTGAAACAGATTAATAAATCAAATATYCGAACAACAAATGCTAGTAAGGACCTAACATTCCTAGGGAAATTCGTTTGGCGTCACCGTGTCGCTCCATTATCGATACTTATAGGCCCCGGCTAAAAGAGGAAATATGTTTACTGCGTAAATGTTTCCCCAATGTCTCCAAGTTTAGCCACATGCGAAACATTGGTGCGTGCAACAAATTTTGCTTCCAATGACACGAAAATGTTCCTGCTGTGCGGCAGAAACATTTCATGCTTCCAAGGCGCATAGAAACAATGTTTTGTCGATGTTTCCTTGTTTAGCCACGAAAGTCAATATTCTAAATGTTCGTTTCTTGTCAACGCTCGCGCTATCTTGAAAGTGCGCATTCGCTAATCGATGTTGAGTAAACATGTTTTCCGATGTTTCCTGACAGTTTTGCCACCTTTAGAAACATTTAAGGAAACATGTTTCCTCGTTTAGCCAGGGCCTTATGACCGAGACGTACTGGGAAGAGAGCCTAAACGAAAGCTGTGCCATTCCAGGGCGGGAAATGGTCACATGACCAGTCATTCTACTTACCTTCGTTTCATATCTGAGAACGATGTCGTAGTCACCAGACCGTGGTATGTTTGTAATCGAGTAAACAATAGCTGTGTCGTGTTTGACTTCAACAAATCCATCCCCTGTCCATGTTGTTTGTCCATTTAGCGGCTGTTGACGTTTGACCTCTGAAACCTAAAACCATTACAAGTTAACGATGGTTTCTCGAGTTGTTCTATGTTGATTCTTAAAATAGCAATTTTCACACGACTGTAAAAAAGCTCAGCGCAGTGAGCGTGCCGTGCCCTGCGTTACCGTAAAGTTTTCTATGATTTCAATGGGCTTATCATAAAAAAAGTTTTTTCTCTCGCAATGTGATTGGTCTGGCAGTGCCTTAACCTAGGCGTGACCGTGTCCGCGCCGTGTTTCTGCCGTGCTCCGGGAGTTTAAATGGATGGAAAGTAAATTCTCTCGCAATGTGACTGGTCTTGGTATGCCTTACCGTGTGACGACCGCGTTATTGCCGCGAGCTTTTCACAGTCATACGAATAATATAGGAAAATCAGGGCGCGCGATAATAAACCAATTCCATTGAATATCTGTATTGTGATTCAGTGACCCAATCCTTGAAGTACATGTGACGTCAAAGGCGCAGTTTTGTTTGACACCGACAAAAGATTTGGTCTTGGTATGTGTCTTTTGTCGTGTTAACCAACATGTCGGCCACATCTTTTGACCTTTTTTTTCCATGGGATGCCGGGGATGCACGCCACCAATAACAATCCTCAGGTGACCTCTAGTTATATTTGTAAACTTACTCATGGCTTTTATAGACTTCCTTTAATACCATAATTTTTTAATACTTAAAGAAACTTCAAAATACAACTTCAAACGTCCAGTGTTCTTGTTATCATCTCCTAAATGAGTTCGCATTTTTATTGAAGTTACATATTAATAATATCGGTAATATGTAAATACTGAAATATCAAAAAAGTGAGGCGTTGATAAGTCTGGAAAAACTCGCGTTTTCTGTATCAAAAAAAAAAAAAACGTCTTCATAAAAATGTTATTTTCCTTGAGTCTCCTATCCAACGCTTTAAAAATGAGGCATTCTTTAAAGTCGCAGCTCTACAAAAAGGCACTTTCTACGTCGTCTCTCTTATGATTTTAAAATGGCGGCTTTGAAAAACCTTCGTCTTTCTCGATCCGTTCATTATGCCTTTGAGCATAGTTATTAATATGCTTTAATGGACAGTAGTGGCGGTATTCTGTTTGATTAGGAAGATTGATGAGATTGTTCTGTTGAAGACAAGAATATCTTTTTCATAGCATTTATTTTTGCAGCAGTAGTCGAAATAAATAGTTTTTTGGAGTAACTTCTAAGTCGTTCACTTCTCAGAAAATACACAAAAGGGTTGATGCTGGAGCTTGAAAGCATGAGCGTAATGACGACCTGAAGAGTGACGTCACGTCTGAGCCTGTTGCCAGAGTCTTCAGCGACCATGGTAGACTCCATCCTCATAAGACTAAAAGGAATATAACAGAACAACGACACCAAGAAAATAATAACGAACGTCGTTGAGCTCCTTCTGATTTTCATTCGAGAGATAGCGCCATTAAAATATCCTTGAGCTTCAATCCGCTTCAGGTGTCTTCGAGAGATTCCAACTATGTAAATATGAATGACTGTAATCATCACGCATGCGCAAATCACGTAAATCCACCAGGCAATTTTTATGCCATGTGTAAATGGCGTAGATAGGCTATTGGAAATAGAAACTGAAGTGCTGAAAACCCATGTGATACAGATAGCAAGTTTTGATCGTTTTGGCGTTACAATGCTGTGATACCGAAGTGCGTAAGCTATGGCGATATATCTATCAAAGGATAGTAGACAAAGGCTACCCAAACTCGTAGTAACGTTAACACACAAGATTATCTCAAGAATCAATCGGGCTTGTACGGTACACTTCTGGACCTCCTTTAAGCCTAACGCAAGATTGTAAATATTTGAAGGTTGCACGATGGCGCCCACTAGAAAATCCGACATTGCAAGACTTGCCACCATGAGGTTGGAAGGAACTCGAAGCTGTTTGTATCTGAAGACAGTGGCTAAAACAATTGCATTACCAAATACAGATAGCAACGGTAAAACACAGTTGATGAAGAGAATGAAAACAGCAAAGCCAAAGCTGAACTCCACGAATCTTCTTTTACTGTCGATTGTTGACGATCCTTGGATTTGAAATTGTTCCCCAAAAACATCGCATTCTTGATATTCCTCTTCACTAACGAAGTTGTAACTAGAATTGTTTGCAGCCATCCTGACGAAATAACTTTAGAGAAGTCAAGATAATTTCGGAAAGCTTTTTTTTTACAGTTTTGGAGAGATGTCGTTTCGAGAAGTGAAACCCACAGCGATGTATAAACTATAAATGAGCTCACAACTTTATTCGCGCTATTGTTTTTAATTAAGAAACTATTGTTCACTAGCTCATTTGCATATGAAGGAGTTCTAAACACTGACGTCTGGCTTGTTTTTGCCTTTTTAAATTGTATCACAATAGTTGAAAGAAACCGTAAGATTATTTAATTGACAAAGAAAGTAATACAGAAAAAAGGATTAAAAGAATTTTCGACTCTAAAAAGAAGCAAGAACGCCAGAAAAATTATCTTATCCAATGCAATAAAAATCACAGCGTTCTTGAAAAAAATTGTTTCAAAATCTTTGCTTAATGTTAAGAACACTTTCTTTTTTGATTGACAAAACACGAGTCGATTTTCTGGTTTGTGTGTGTGATTACTGATAAGACGGCCATCTCGAGTTATGGGATGCCGAGGGGCAAACACGCAGAAAATTTATAAAGCATTGACAGTGGCGGGTTTTTCTTTCCAAATAATTTGAAGTCTTGGTGTTTCGCATACTGTTCCAACTACCAGCAAATTCAATTACTTTTTCGATGTGCTTCTCATTGAAAATCGTAAAGTCGTATGAAAAGACACCTATAAATTTTCCGGTTAATACGATAGAATTCAAGATGGCCGCCGTATTGGTATGTGTTAGTTGCCATATTAGTTATTATTTTAAGTTTGCTTTTAACGACTATGTATTGCAGACGGTCTTGTTTGTGTCAGACAAGTTTCATGCTTCCATACTAGACTAGAGGAAACACCCGTAACGACTGTCTTTCTTTCTTCGGCTGAGCTTAAACATACTTGAATCTCACACGGTGAAATCCTGTACGCATTCCGATTTTTTTCGAATTTCTTTTTGACGTCTATTCTACAGAAAATGTAATCAAAGATTGTAATACAAAGCTTTTTCGAATAATTTTGAAGCCGTTTGCTCCTCAGAAAATAAACGACGGGGTTGATGCTGGAACTTGAGAGCATTATTGTAATTGCGATCTGAAAGATGATGTCACGTCTAAGCATACTGTCAGGGTTATTTTGCTCAACAGTAACAAAAGTCTCGATCTTTAAGAAGCAGAAAGGTAAAAAACAAAGAAGCTTAGTCAAGAAAATAATAATAAACGTGATAGCACTGGTCCTGTCTTTCTTCCTGAAATGYGCGTTTCTGTTTCTTCCCTCCACGTCGACTCGGTTCAAGTGTCTTTGGGAAATCTTTAGTATTTTACAATGGATTAGAAAGGTGATCGTAAACGTGCCGATGGCGTAAATCCACCATATAATTTTCATGAACAAAGTAAACGGAAAAGAAAGGAAAGTACTGACGGCCAAGACAGTACCACACACCCATGTCACACAAACGGCGCTTTTGGAKCGTTTAAGTGTTACGATACCATGATAGCGAAATGGGGTGGTTATCGCGATATATCGATCCAACGACAGAAGACAAACGCTACCCAAACTGGTAGTAAAGTTAATACCCAAGATTATCTGAAGAATAAATCGGGCTTGTACGGTACACTCCTGGACCTCCTTTAAGCCTAACGTAAGATTGTAAATATTTGAAGGTTGAACGATGGCGCCCACTAGAAAATCCGACATTGCAAGACTTGCCACCATGAGGTTGGAAGGAACTCGAAGCTGTTTGTATCTGAAGACAGTGGCTAAAACAATTGCATTACCAAATACAGATAGCAACGGTAAAACACAGTTGATGAAGAGAATGAAAACAGCAAAGCCAAAGCTGAACTCCATGAATCTTCTTTTACTGTCGATTGTTGACGATCCTTGGATTTGAAATTGTTTCCCAAAAACATCACATTCTTGATATTCCTCTTCACTAACAAGGATGTAACTAGAATTGTTTGCAGCCATCCTCACGAAATCCCACAGCTCCGAAACTTGCGAAGTTTTACATTTATCAAGCAATGTTTTTTAACTGTATACACGTGACTTCTGAAGGGTATTGCCCTTACTCAGTACTCATTCAGTAGGGTTAAGGTCATTCAGACAGTGTGAAAGCGTGGGTTAATTCGAATCTCAAGCAAGCCAAATGTTATAGCCAAGCACTGTTAGCAATATCATTAACAACAATCAACACAATAGACTTAATTGCGTATTGTTTCTGAGATTTAACAAAAAAACTTACCGGCAGAATAAAAACAATATTGTGCAAGGAAGCATGATCACAAAGGCTGTGTGAAAGACGAGTACCATCAAATTTAACGAAAAATCTTGCAGATGCTGTACAACATTTGCTGTTTAACATCTATCTCCTTTCAACTCTTTAAAAAGCAAAATAAATGAAAATCTAGCGACTTTATCTATTTGTTCAACGCCTTTTTATCATCATTCGAGGACTTTTCGAGGAAATATCGAATTCAATGGCTTTTCAAGACAAATAGTGACATTCAAGGCTTTTTCAAGGTTGTACGAACCATGCCTAAGCTAGTTTGAGTCCATTATTTAAGCTAGTTAGACGATATATACTCAACTTACCCCAATCGCTCTGGCTTCCTCAGATTCATAGACAAGGTGATCAGGAAGAGGGAAATAGTGCCCAGGCTTAACTCGGTTACACGTGCGTCCCGTGATTCCTTTACGGCATCTACACAAACCGCTTATTTTGTCACACTGGTCGTCATAGGAACCACCTACGTCACAACCACATTGCAGGCAACCGGCAGGACTCTTTCCCAGTCCCCAAAAACCGTTCTAGAAATTAAAGAAAATAACAAGGTTAATCAGAAACTGGTCTGGAATGTTTGAGGTTTGGGTTCAAGTGCTCTCATGAGCTAGATCTGGTTAAGTTTAGAGAAATCGCATCCGACAATCTAAAACTCTCCAGTCCCAAAAGTTGGTAGGTGAACAAGTTGAACAATGAAACTRTCAAAGATTAAAACTTAAAATTCTTTCATATTTTTATAAACAACATTTTTAGCTTGGGCGTAAAGTTTCCCCATCTTAAAGTGCCTATCACCCTTCTGACGATATTCTCAGTATTGATTCTACATGGGGTAAGATGTTGAATAACCCGAAAAAATTAC